AGGGGGCGGGGCCGCCGCGCCGCCCCGGGGCCGGGCCGAGGGCCGCCGCACCGCGGGCGGGCGGGGGCGGGGGGCTCTCGCGGTCCCGCGTGGGCCGCCACGGTGGGGTTCCCCGCAGCGGCGGGGCGGGCGGAGGCTGGGGGAAGGGGGAGCCTGCTGCTCCCACCCGGGCGCCGTGACGACCCCCAGGCCCACCCGGGAGGGAGCTGGGGCGCGCGGTTGGGAGGATGCAGCCCCTGGAGAAGTTGGGGCGGCCGAAGAACAGCTTGTCCTACCGGCTCGGGGGCCTTAGGTGCCCCCGAGAACCGGCGTCACCGGCCCCTCCCCTCAGGGCTTCAAGATGGGATTCGCTCCAGTTCCAACAGCCGCAGCGGGAGCCGGGAGCGGCGGGAGGAGCAGACGGACACCTCGGATGGGGAATCCGCGACCCATCACATCCGCAGGCTCAACCAGCAACCTTCCCAGGGGCTGGGGCCCAGAGGCTACGACCCCAACCGGTGAGCAGAGAAGGGCAAGGACGCTGGCCGCGGGGAGAGCTTCCGATGGAGGCTTGCAAGTGCTCCTAGTGAGGCGGGCAGCCACGTTGTTTCTCTGGGGGATGGGCCGAAGCCCTGCCCTCCAGAGGGGCTGTCAAGAGTTTGTTTAGAGGAGACCCGAGCAGCCTCCGGAGAGAGGAGGCTCTGCTGAGTTGCCTGCTCAGGACAGAGTGTGGTCGATAGACATGTGGTCCCTGTTCCCACAGATACCGGCTGCATTTTGAACGGGACAGTCGGGAGGAGGTGGAGAGGAGAAAGAGAGCGGCCAGGGAGCAAGTCCTGCAGCCGGTCAGTGCTGAAGTGCTGGAACTGGATATCCGGGAAGTCTATCAGCCTGGCTCCGGTGAGTGAGGGCAGCTTGGTGTTTACCAGCAGCTTGGGGAAGGAGCTGGCTGAGACAAGAGGAGGGGTCCAAAAACAAAACAAAACAAAACCAAAAAAACAGTCTTTATTGCTTGTGGGGACTTTTTTCTCATTGTCCAGTCCTGGACTTTCCCCGCCGGCCTCCTTGGAGCTACGAGATGTCCAAGGAACAGCTAATGAGCCAGGAGGAGCGGAGCTTCCAGGAGTACCTCGGGAAGATACATGGAGCCTACACTTCGGAGAAACTCAGCTACTTCGAGCACAATCTGGAGGTGACAGTGGAGTTGACAACATTGTGGGACTGGAAGGTGTCCCGGCTCAGGCAGAGGAGGACTCTAAGGTGGTTTCCCTCTGATCTTTTCAGACGTGGAGGCAGCTGTGGCGGGTGCTGGAGATGGCTGACATCGTCTTGCTGGTTACTGACATCCGACATCCAGTGAGCACTGGAAAGGCTCCACGGGCTGGGGAGGATCTGGTGGGGCTGTCCAAGGGCAGGGATTGGAAGACAGGGATCTTCTTAAGGGTGTGTGTGAAATGTGGTGTTTGCCGTGCTTGCCATTCTAGAGTGTGTGCTTGGAATTGTCCCGAGGTCAACCTTGGATGCACTCCTCAGGCCAAGCCACCGTGTTTGTGGGTTGGGATCTCTTACACCCCACGAAGCTCCAGGGATCCTCCTGTTCTCCTTCCCTGGTGCTGGGGTGTGGCAGCTTCTTTCCTGTCTTCCTTCCTAAAGTCTTCAGTCAGAAACTTTTTTTCTTTTGTTTTGCTCTGCTGAGAGTGAACCCTGGGCCTTGCATGTGCTAGGCCTGAGCTTTCACTGACCTGCACCCTCAGCCTGAGGAACTCAGTCTTGTATTCATCTTTTGTCACAGCCTGCCACTCCCTTGTTGGCCAGCTCTGTTTCCCAGAGCTAGACCAGAGGAGAGTCCCGGGGTAGAGCTCCAGGAGGTCCCAGCTGGAATGCTAGAGGAGTGGGCAGGGCTGTGGACCCCGATCTCCTGACTGCTTGCTTACCCCACTTGCCTTCCACTGCAGAAAGGGAGGTCTGTGGGGACATTGAGGTGACAGACCCTACACGAATGCAGACAGTACACGGTTACAGGGGTGCGTGTATGTGCGTGTGCTCCGTCACATGCACAGACGACGCCCACAGTCACCCACCTTTAGCACACGTGTATGCATGTCACATGCACGTACTTTCAGTTATGTGCAGCCCCTGACCCTCGTCACCTCAGTGTGTTAGCAGTGGTCATATTTTCCCTCATTTCTTCGGCCTCGTGACCTTCAGGAAGCTCCCTGAGGCCTGCCCAGGTTGCTTCTAACACCTGATTAGCCTTCCTCGTTCGGTGTTGCTGGTGTTACTGTGTTCACCCCAGAATCCCCTTCAGCCAGGGCCTTACGTGTTTTCCCTGCCTGTGGTGGGAGCTGGGGTCGGCGAACTCAGGGCTCACATTTCATCCTGTGCTCTGACCAATTGTGTCCCAGGTTGTGAACTTCCCCCCAGCACTTTATGAGTATGTGACTGGAGAGCTCGGGCTGGCGCTGGTGCTGGTGTTGAACAAGGTGGACCTGGCCCCGCCCCCGCTCGTGGTGGCCTGGAAGCATTACTTTCAGCACCAGTACCCTGAGCTGCACATTGTCCTCTTCACTTCTTTTCCTCGGGACACCCGAGCTCCGCAGGAGCCTGCCAGTGGTGAGTGGGCTGTATGGAGGCGGTGGTGGGCGAGAAGAGGGCACAGGCCAGAGTGCAGAGGTACCTGCTGGCCTGAGGGTGAGAGATAAGGCTCATTTTTCTTCCTCTCACCTTAGTCTTGAAGAAGAATCGAAGACGGGGCAGAGGATGGACTCGGGCCCTGGGGCCAGAGCAGCTGCTGAGAGCCTGCGAAGCCATCACTGTGGGGAAAGGTGCGTCGCTCTGGGAGGGGCTTGCATGTACTGTCCCTCTGTTAGGCTCCCTTGGGGAGGGTGTAGAATAAGGAGCAACCTTGTGGTGGAAGGAGAGAGGCAGGAGTGGGTAGGGCCTCTGTGGCTTGATGTCCTGGGACTTATCCGTGACTCCAGAGTGGGGTTCAGTGAAGGCTGGGGTGCACATTGGCATGCTGGTGGCAACTGCAGTGTGTTACCCACAGTGGCCTGTGGGTGAGGGAAACCCTATTCTTTTTCTTCTTCACAGTGGACTTGAGCAGCTGGCGGGAGAAGATTGCTAGGGATGTGGCTGGGGCCTCCTGGGGTAATGGCTCTGCTGAGGAGGAAGAAGAGGAGGATGGGCCAGCGGTCCTGGTAGAGCAGCAGACTGACTCGGCGCTGGAGCCCACAGGCCCCTCTAGGGAGCGCTACAAGGATGGGGTGGTGACCATCGGCTGTGTAGGTGAGCTCAGGGGCCTGCCACAGTGGCCCTTAGGGGGCAGGGAGGCGCTTCCTGCAGTGCGGCCAAGTCTGTCCTTAAGCTGTGGCAGTGAGCTCAGGGGCCTGCCACAGTGGCCCTTAGGGGGCAGGAGGGCGCCTCCTGCAGTGCGGCCAGGTCTGTCCTTAAGCTGTGGTGGTGAGGGTGAGGGTGTGAGGTTGGGGCATGAGGTGTGTGGGGGTAAGGCTATGAGGTGAGGGAGTGAGGGTGTGAGGGTGAGGGTATAGGGATGGGGGTGGGGTGGTGGTAAGGGTGTGGAGGTGAGGGGTGAGGGTGTAGGGGTGAGGGTGTAGGGGTGAGGTGTAGAGGTGAGGGTGTAGGGGTGAGGTGTAGGGGTGAGGGTGTAGAGGTGAGGGTGTAGGGGTGAGGTGTAGAGGTGAGGGTGTAGGGATGGGGGGTGAGGGTGTAGGGGGAGGGTGGGGGGGGGGGGGTTTGGGGTGGGGGGGGGGGTGGGGGGGGGGGGAGGGGGGGGGGTGGAGGTGTGGTGAGGGTGCCTGTGGAGAGCCTCACAGTCCCTGGCGAGTGCGACTGTTTAATCTTGGCAGAGCCTGGCAGTGCTCACACAGTGCTCTGAGCGGCCGGGAGCTACTCGATATTTCAGTTGTGGACGTTGGCTCCCAATACAGGGATTCTTGAGTCGCAGCAGGGAGCAGCTTCTCTAGGTGGGGAGCGCGTTTCAGTGTGGTCATGGAGTGTGTGCTTGAGCACTGACACTAGCTGGACGTGGTGGCGACACCTTTAGTCCCAGCACATGGAGGCAGAGGCTGCTGACGGATCTCTGAGTTCAGGCCAGAATGGTCCACATAGTGAGTCCCAGCCAGGAAGGAATCACAGTGAGACTCATAAAGGAAGAGCTTTGTTCAGCCCCCATAGCGGCAGCTTCCAGCCTGTGGGTCATCACCCTTAAGTGGAGTGACCCTTTCATAGGGTCACACATCAGACGGCATTACAGTTCATAACAGCAGCAGAATTAGGAGGAAGAGTAGCAGCGAAGACAGTTCTGTGGCCGGGTGCACACTGTGAGCTGAGAGCCCCTGCAGGAGGGGGCAAAGGATGTGTGACGAAGGCCCAAGCTTCTTGCTGTGGGAAGAGACCTTGGTAGTTTAGGGTCTTAGATCTTTGTGGGGTTTTATTTCGTTGTGTGGTGGTGTTTTGCCTGCATGTATGTCCGGTCACCACTTGTGGGCCTGATGCCTGCAGAGGCCAGAAGAGGGCACTGGACCCCTGAGGTGAGGGTTGCAGACTGTTGCAGGCTGCTGCATGGGTGCTGGGAACAGAGGGGCAGTGAGTTCTCCACCCTGAGACATCCCTGCAGCCCTGCAGTTTGGATTTTAGCTTTAGTTTCATTAGAAGCTGGGAGGGAATGTCAGGGTCTGGTTCACTTTGAACCTTGTTCTTCCTACTGGGTGGAGTCAATGGTGGGCGAGGGCCACAAAGGGAAGACAAGAGCCCCCGAGGGTGAGCCGGAGCTGCTGGGAGGAGCCAGGTGCTGCTCAGCTGTCTCTCCAGAATTTGGGAGGAGAAGGCGGGAGCATTAGGAGAGTTTGAGGTCAGCCTGGACTGTGTGTGAATTTCAGGCCAGCCTGGGCTGCAAGCATCTGTAAAAAAAAACCAACCCCCATCCCCACCCTGAGAGCTGCTTAGGGGAGGAGATAGAGGTGTGGAGGTGGTGAGACCGCCATGATGTGAGAGACAGCAAGGGGTGGAGAGCTTTTTGTTTAAAACCTGATCAGCCGGGACTCCTGAGCTGGAGAAACTGGGAGAGGAGCGGGCTTGGAGGGCTGGAGAGTGGAGAGGAGTGAGAACTGAAGGCTGTCACTAGCTTCCCAAGTGGAGAGGCTGAGTAGCTGTGGGTTAGGGGGTTGGAGCTGTGTGGTGGGGATTTCAGCGTCCAGAGCCACTGAGAAGCATACAGAGTGTTAGTGCCGTGGGGTGGGAGGACAGAGGTGAAGAGAAAGCTGAGGACTGAGGCAGAGCAAAGGAGAGTGGAGAAATGGCCAAGGAAGGGTGTAGAAGTCTCATGTCTGTGAAGCAGGCTGGCCACTGCTGGGAGCCGGAGGAAGAGAGGGCCCACCCCAGAGCAAAGAGAAAGTGCGTCCTGTGCTTTGCTTCTTCGGCTGGATGGAGTGCAGGGCCTGCAGGGCAGGAGGGATAGCTCACCTCGGTGGGTGAGGCTCTGTGCGAGCAGGCAGCCAGATGCAGGAGAGGAGGGTGCCGTACTCGGGTGTACTGGGGTCGCCAGCACTGGGATGTGTTTTCGTTTGTGTCCAAATGTCCAGTCGAAAGGTGAACTTAGGAACTGGTGACAGACAGAGCTGAGTGTTGAGGGTTGTGGTTGTGTTGTGTGTGGAGGTTTTTGTTGTTCTTTAAATAGGGGTCTCACTGTGCAGTTTAGGCAGGCCTCCACCTCTCAGCTATCCTGCCTCTGGCTCTGAAGCGCTGGGATTACAGCTGGGTGCCATCACAATGGGCTAGGATTGTATTCTGAGGGGGGCAAAGAGGTATGCTAGACAGAGGGGAGCTGCCTGTGTCCCCTCTGCCCACTGGTGCATCTTCTCCAGGGGCTGTGTGGGCACACTTGCATGCCACTGGGCTGGGCTTTTGTAGGTGACAGATGTGGGAAGCCAGGACAGGACTTGGAGGTTGGTGTCCAGGACTTGCCAGTGGGCTAGATGCTGGACGTTGAGGTGGATGGGAAGAAAAGCAGGACATGTTGATTGTCGCACAGGGTCAAGCTTACTCTTCTGCTGCTGGAGAGGCAGCAGGACCGAGGCGGCCTGTTTGAGGAAAATGTTTAAAGTTTCAGACGGTGAATCGATCATAGGGCCCGGGAGCATGGCAGCAGGCAGGCGTGGCACTGGGCAGTAGCTGACAGCTTACATTCCATTCACGAGTAGCAGGGATAGCGAGGGGGTGGGAAAGATGATGGGCAGACACCCAGACATGAGAGACAGACACACACTGGGTCTAGTGTGGGATTTTGAATCTTCAGAGTCCATCCCAGTAACATACCTCCTCCAACAAGACCATACCTTCCAGTGCTCTTAACTTGTGGGCTGTGACCCCTTTGGGGGTTTCGTGTCCTGTATCCCGCATGTCAGAATCTAATGATTCACAGCACTAGCAAAATTACAGTTAGGAAGTAGCGAAAACACAGTTTTATGGTTAGAGTTACCACAATATGAGGAACTGTATGAAAGGATCGCAGCATGGGGAAGGTTGAAAAGCCCTGCCCTAGTCCTTCCCAAACAGTTCCGCTAGCAAGGGGCAGGCATTACAGCAGGGGAGCCTGTAGGGCCGTTCTTCAGCCCCACACAGTGTTAGGTGCTGGCGTCTGGTGACTGGCTAAGGGCTAAGGGAGGCTGAAGGATGCGGGTCAGGCCAGTTGCAGATGTGAGGCAGAAGTCTGCTCTGCCTGCACATAGCCTTGGGCAGCTGATACAGAGAAGAGTGAATGTGGTTTAGTATCTGAGGGCCCGAGGGGGAAGAGGAGGCCTGATGGTCCTGCACTCAGGTGGAAAAGGAGGCATGACCATGGAGGGTATGAGGCAGCAGGTGTCACTGTCTCTAACCCCTGCCCTGTGAGGGCGGGAGGGACTGGCCTGGGCTGTGGCTGGGGGCCAGAGCTCGCCTGGTTGGTTGGCTGTGGTACATCTTTACTTGCGCTGTCCCTCCCGGCCCCTCTGGCCCGGGGGAGCACTTCCCCACAGCCCCTTGCCTTGCCTTCCTAGGTTTCCCCAACGTGGGGAAGTCCTCACTGATCAACGGGCTGGTGGGCCGGAAGGTGGTGAGCGTCTCCAGGACACCAGGCCATACCCGGTACTTTCAGACCTACTTTCTCACCCCCTCTGTGAAGCTCTGTGACTGTCCGGGCCTTATCTTCCCCTCTCTGCTGCCCAGGCAGCTGCAGGTATGTGTTGGAGGGCCGGAGCACGGGGCAGGAGAGCCGGTGGACTGAGGAAGGTGCTGAGTGCTGTTTCCACAGGTTCTGGCCGGAATCTACCCCATCGCCCAGATCCAGGAGCCCTACACTTCCGTGGGCTACCTGGCCTCCCGCATCCCCGTGCAGGCCCTGCTGCACCTGCGCCACCCGGAGGCCGTGGACCCTTCAGCGGAGCACCCCTGGTGTGCCTGGGACATCTGCGAAGGTGGGCTTCCCGCCGGCGCGGCTGCTGACTCCTCCCTTCTCTACTCTGCCAAGGCAGACCTCGGGCTGGACCGTGGGGAGCGCCGGGAGGACTGTGGGTGTGGGGCTGGCAGGGCTGCGACCTGGTTCATGGCCTCCCTTACTGTTACTGTTTCTCCCTTTAGCTTGGGCAGAAAAACGTGGCTACAAGACAGCCAAGGCAGCTCGAAATGACGTGTACAGAGCGGCCAACAGCCTCCTTCGCCTGGCAGTGGACGGCCGCCTCAGCCTGTGTTTCCACCCGCCCGGTTACAGCGAACAGAGAGGTGAGAGCCCACACGTTCTCTTCAGCCTCCACTGCGGTCAGGCCTAAGGGGGTGGACCTCAAGGCCAGACAGAGTCACTCTGGGCAGCTGTGCAAGTCTGGGTGGGTCTTCATCAAGGTGGCTGTGCGGCTCTGCAGGGGCCGGTGGGGTGAGGCTGCATGCCAGCGCTTGAGGGGCGCCTGTCTGTCCCTGTGCCTGGCTCCTTTGCTCATGCACTTCCTTGTCCCTCAGGCACCTGGGAGTCTCATGCGGAGACCACAGAACTGGTGGTGTTGCAGGGAAGGGTGGGGCCAGCAGGTGATGAGGACGATGAAGAGGAGGAAGAGCTGAGCAGCTCCTGTGAGGAGGAAGGGGAAGAGGACCGGGATGCTGATGAGGAGGGAGAAGGAGAGGAGGACACTCCAACGTCAGGCCCTGGGTCCTGCCTGGCTGCCCGGAACCCATATGCTCTGCTGGGTGAGGACGAATGCTGAGCCCCTGCCGAGCCCCGCCCGGCGCCATCCTCCCTCTGTCGCTTTGCTTTTGGACTGAGCTGGACGTGTCTTCCCTCTGCCGCCCCGATTGTGAATAAAGATTGTCTGCTTTGTAGCCCCTTCCCCGGTGGCCTGCGGTGAGAGCGGCTGACGGCCTCGGGAGGCTGCTGCCTGTCCTCGCCATTCTGTTTGGGAAGCAGAGCTCAGGCCTGGTGCCTGCTCTGCACAGGGTCCCCATGGGCAGGGGAGGTGTGAGATGGCCTCTCCTGGAACTAGCCCCCCTCTGCTGCATTTGAGCAGTGTCCAGCGTCCCCTGTTGCCTGGCCTTGGTTATTCCTGGGCTTTCTGGGTGCTGGAGCCACAAGAGGTGTCGCCACGGGAGGGTTTTATAGGAATTTTCCAAGTTCAGCAAGCGATTATCAAGTCTGCGTCCAGGCCTGTGCTAAGTACAAAACCAACCCTTTCTGTGAAGCAGGAGCCAGGGCCAGCCGTGACCAGACCTCACGGAGCGCTGACTTTTGGCTTAAGATGGGCGTGTGAGGCTCCAGGTCCTGCAGTATTGTCCTGGGTCTTGTTGATACTGAAATGTAGCAATGACAGAGCTTGTGAAGAATTCGTGAAGTGTGTGCGGGCGGAGGCCTAATCGGCCGCCAGCAGGCTGCGTTCAGTGTGGGCAGGGCAGCCTGTACAGTGTCGGGTTGCATGGCCCACAGGGCTAGGTTCCCCTGTAGAGGTCAGCCGCTTCTCCAGCGCCAGTGCTGGCCTGACAACCAAGAGAAAGGGACCTCCATGGAGAGCCTGAGGCCTCTGGCCAAGCATTCCTAGAAACTTTACTGTGCATGGCTGCCGCGAGACCCTGGGTCCTGGAACCTGCACTGCCACACAGAGAACTACAGCCTGTGACACGCATGAAGGTCACCCAGAATGTGCTGGAAAGGAGGAAAAGCGCCAGACCAGAAAAAGGCAGTCACAACAGTCAGGATTGGCCTGTGCCTGCCCCTTGCTGCTTCTATTCACTCATGGTGCAGTAGATATCTTGACATCGGGAGCTGGAGGGATGGAGCTGGAGGCGCTACAGGAGCCAGGATGTTTTGTAAAGACTGGATCTTCACCGTGTGGTCCTGGACTTGCTGTGTAGACCAGGCTGTCTTTGAACTCGCATGGGTCTGGAGGGAACTCAAAGGCAACGCAGTCCCAGACTGGTGTGGGATATGCGTCCGCAGTCACTGTCAGTGGCTTGCTCAAATTACAGGAAAATAAGACCAGGCAAAGAGCCCGTCTTAGCGACAAGCAGGTCAGAGGGAAGGGAAGCCATGCCCTAGTCAGTGCCTAGGCAGGGGAGAAGCTGAGTGGAAGGACATGGCAAATCGGTTCATTTCCTTCCCGTGCGCAGACTCTCCGAACCCTCCTCACTGCATCTTGCTTGCCTGTCCCCCGGTGGTCCCTGGCTGTGGTGGCCTGGGGCTCTGGCGTGCAGCCAGCCAGCCAGCCCGGCAGAGTAAGCGAGGGCTTTGTTTAGACAGCTCTGGTTCTGAAGCAGGGAGCTGTGGGGGTGAGGGGTCCGGAGGAGGCCAGTGCCCAGCCTCAGCCAGGGTGCAGTGGACAAGAGCTGACGCTGATCTGCCAGAGGTGGTGGCAGAGGTGATATTTTCAGTCAAGTGTCTTAACTGGGGTGGACACAGGACAGCGGCCGCTGCGGACAGGGTCGTCCACCTGTAGTGCTCAGCCGTGGCCGCCAGGCTGAGCGGTGGACCCCAGGGAGGAATTTACCCGCTCAACATCGGTGGGGTACTTAGTGCCTGTCAGTCTAACTGGTGAGAAGGCTGAGGACAGCCCCGTAGGCGCTCGTGGTTTACAGAGCGATGGAAGCAATAAAGCAGACAGTTTCTACAAGTGTGGGAAGAGCTGGGAGGAGAGTGGTGGGCCCCCTGGGCTCCTGAGCAGGACGTGTGGGATTAGGGTTAGGGTTAGGAGGCTGGCTGTGTGGGGCAGGAGGGCCGAGGCTACTGCCCTCTCTTTGCCGATAAACCTCTGGCTGGTTAAGATGGCTGGCCAGTGAACTCCAGGGGTCGCGCTGTCTCTGAGGTGCGTGCTGCCGCCCCAGCTGGCTTTCTGAGTGCTGGTGGCTGGACTCGGTTCCTAGGGCTCGAGAGTCGAGAGCCTAGGCTGTGGCTCTGGGAGCCGCATCCTGGTCCTGGAAGGCCGCCTCAGGGGCTGTGGGGCTACAGAATGCCAACAGGGCAGCCAGGCTCCTCCACAAGTCACTCTAACCAGCCTGGAGGGTCAGAGAGAAGGTCACCCTGAGGCTGAACTGAGCACTGGGAAGAGGGCATCAGCAAGTGTGTTCTAGCCGAGGAGCCATGAAGAAAGTGGGAACTTACAGAAGACAAGGTAGGGGAGGCGAGAGACAGGAAAATCCAGCCTATGCCTGGGTGCTAAAGGTCAAGGTCCTGACAAGGTTGGAAGCTTACCACCCATCAGGCTGGGTGCTGAGTGCGAGGGAGGCCCGGAAGGTGGCGGGGGGGGGTCTCCAGCCACTTTGAAGACTCTTAACTACTCTGTGGAGCCAGGTGAGGTAGGGTGCACCTCTAATCCCAGCGCTCAGGAGGCAGAAACGGGTCGTCCTGTGAGTTCCAGGACAGCCATGGCTACACAGAGAGACCCTGTCTGGAAAACAAAGCAAGAACTAAGACATGGAGCCAGGCACAGTGGGGGACACCCTTAATTCCAGCATTTGGAAGGCAGAGGCAGTTCCAGTCCAGCTGGAGCCTCCAATGAGACCCTGCCAACACCAAAAGAAACCAAAAGAACCCTGTGACTAGAAGGCTGAGGAGTGATTGCCTGTACACTGCCGAGGTGGCAGCTTGGACACTGATTTGGAAGGCAAGAGAGCCGAGGGTTCTGTAGCCATCCTGGGGGCCACCGAACCGGAACCAGTGGAAAGAAGGCATTTGTGAGTGTACTTGGGAGACAGATGCACAGGCTGTTGGCTCATTCGGCTGTCTATGTGTGTCTGTGTGGTGTGGGTGATGGGCTGTGTGTGTGTTTTCTGCTGTGTGTGTCTGTGTTCGACTGTGTCTGTGCAGGTTTGTTGGGTTGGGGGTGGGGTGGAGTAACTGAAGACTGAATCTACTGCTTTACTTACTCTTGGCGCAGGTGCGGTGGGTAATTCTGGAGACGGGGTGTTCAGAGTGCAGCTCGGGGAAGATGTTCCAGGGACGCTGGGCGCCATCAGCGCAGGGGTGGGAGGACAGGAGCAGGTCACCCACAGCAGTGCAAGCCAGGAACCTGGCTAGGAGAGCGTGGAGACCGACAGATGGTTTGTGTTCGGTCTTGGGGAGAGGAGCCAGTAAGAGACGACCAGGAACGCTGAGGAGAGGGAGGAGAGAGCCCTGAGGAAGGCGCAGAAGGGAGTGCGCTTGTGGGCGGGGAGGGGCTGGTTGGTCTCTGCGGCGCTCTGGCTCCACGGAGAGGTGAGCTCGGAGGCCCAATAGCAGAACATAAGTTATGACGGGGTGGACGGAGGTGCGGGCACTGGAGAAGCCAGGCTGTGGGTGGGGAGAAGGCTCAGCAATTCTTCTTGCTCCTCTTCCAGGCTCCCGGCACTCACGTCTGGAGCCGGTGGTGCCGTGCAGACGGCTGGAAGGGTCCGGCTCAGCCGTGGGCTGAGGTAGTTGCGCGTCCGTAGGTAGTGACGAGTGATGCAGCAGCAGGGAAAACGGCGAGCTCTGAGCGAGCATGGAGCTCAAGGCTCGGTGCGGGGTCCCTCCGCCGCTCCCGCGACTCCGCAGCGCCACCTGCTGGCCGAGGCCGCGCGGAGGTCAGCGCGGGCTGGGTGCGCGCCTTGGATGCCAGCGCTTCAGGCTGGGGGCATCGCTGTGAATTCCTGGGCTAGATAACGAGGCCTTGTCTCCCAAAACACATAAAGATTGTTTTGAGCTATTGCGTTGCTGCTGTTGTAAGCCATTTAACTTCATTCTACATTCATAGCAGACGTCAAGGTCTTTTAACTATTAAAGCGGAACTTGAAGGATGACACAACAAAATTTGGAAAAAAAAATTATTTTCTGAGACAGGGTTCACAGAGCGTGAACCGTTGTCTGTCTGAATCTCGCTCTGTAATCCAGGCTGGACTCTGGGGTGCCGGGGTAGAGGCGTGGCCACCAACGCCAGCCACAAACATAAACCATCGAAGTATACCTAATGTGATGGGTTGTGGTGACCTAGCTTGTAATCCCAGCACTTAGGAGGCAGCCGAAGGCCGATCTCTGTGAGTTCAAGGCCAGCCTGGTCTACAAAGTGAGTCCAGGACAGCCAAGGATTCACTAAAACAAAATTATACATACATACGTACATACTACATACATACGTATGGTTATACATACAGATATAGTTATACGTACATATAATACCGAAAAGAAAATGACAATCATGCCTCAAGCAGGCAGCACAGACCTAACCAGCCCGGTGCTCTGCTCTGCCATACCGATTTGTGCGTTGTCATACACGTCTATTTGTGTAATATTTGTTCACCCCAAGAGCCCAAATGCTGTGGCCAGCGTTCCAACACTTTTCCTTTCCTCAACAATTGTCAAGCCAGTGGCAGACACATTCCTCTCTGAAGGCTTCACACACACTTCTTAGATAACACGGTAGAACTGTCATATTTAACGGGGTAATTTCTTCTTCCTTCCTTCCTCTTCATCTCTTTCTTTCCTTTCGTTTTTCGAGACAGGGTTTCTCTGTGCAGCCCTGGCTGTCCTGGAACTCACTCTGTAGACCGGGCTGGCCTGGAACTCAGAGATCTGCCTCCGCCTCAGGAGTGCGGGGATGACGGGCGCGCGCCACCTCGGCTGGCTTGAGTTTGACATCTAACAGTGCCACCCTCTGAGTGGAATGGTCCCTCCTAGGTCCCGCTGTCTGGTCCCCAGCGGCTGGCTGTTGTGCAGTACCTTTAAGGGGTGGAGCCTTGCTGACGGAAGTCCGCCCCTGCGGGTATTTAGCCGGGTTTTTGGGTCCTGCTGTTTTTCCGCTAGCCATGAATGACCGAGCTTCATCCCAGACGGTAGGCCTGAAATCGCCTTTAAAGTTGCTTCTTGTCGGAAATGTTGGTTA